TTTTAAAAGAAGTTGAAAATATCACTTTTACCAAAAATGACAAAAATATTCACCAAAATTAGAGAATTAAAGATATCATTACAAAATGAACAAATCTGAGAGAGATCCACATGTAGTACCTATATATGTAATATCAAAGTAATTGGACTTGCGGTTTTTAACGAGAAGTCGAAAATATCACTTTTTACCAAAAATGACAAAAATATTCATCAAAATTAGAGAATTGAAGATATCATCACGAAATGAACAAACTTGAGAGAGGTCCACATGTAGTACCAATATATATAATATCAAAGCAATTGGACTTGCGGTTTTTAACAAGAAGTCGAAAATATCACTTTTTACCAAAAATTACAAAAATATTCACGAAAATTAGAGAATTGAAGATATCATCACGAAATGAACAAATCTGAGAGAGGTCCACATGTAGTACCTATATATGTAGTATGAAAGCAATTGGACTTGCGGTTTTTAACAAGAAGTCGAAAATATCACTTTTTACCAAAAATGACAAAAATATTCACCAAAATTAGAGAATTAAAGATATCATTACAAAATGAACAAATCTGAGAGAGGTCCACATGTAGTACCTATATATGTAATATCAAAGCATTTGGACTTGCGGTTTTTAACAAGAAGTCGAAAATATCACTTTTTACCAAAAATGACAAAAATATTCACCAAAATTAGAGAATTGAAGATATCAACATGAAATGAACAAACCTAAGAGAGGTCTACCCAAGGTACATATACACCAAGTATCAAAGCATTCAGGCTTGTAGTTTTCAAGAAGAAGTCGAAAATGTAAAACATTGACACGGACGACGGACACCGGACGACGGACAATCACTCATATGATAAGCTCCGCTCGACAAAGTCGACAGCTGAGCTAAAAATATGATCAATGTCCACCCACGGAATCTACATATCAAAGTCATTGGGCTGGTAGTTTTCAAGAAGAAGTCAAACAAGATATTGTTAATGGCAACGTATATATAAATTTCCAAGTATGAAAAAGATCTGATAAAAACTGTTAACCACAAAAGTTTGCTCAAGAGAGGACAATAATAACACTGAGCACAGACATTTTCCTGTTATATACCTTTCCCTTCACCTAATTATGAGTGGGCAAGGTAAAAATTATCACTTAAATCAATCAATCAAAGCAATGAACCAAAATGGCATCACTATCTATGATCTTCACACAAAATTTCAATGAAATCAGTCAAGGCTAGTCTGAAAACGATTAGTGACTCATTCAAATGATGGCCCTGAGACAAAAATGGCCACAAGTGTACTATAAAATTTGATTGGATTAAAAAAACAAACATGGAAGTGATTATGTTTTAAATGTCTTTGTACAAACTTTGAAGAGCATCTAAAGTCAATATAAGAATTGTCTGAGAAATGACATTGGATGGATAGACGAATGATAGGTGCTGATATGAGGGGCACATACCATTATCACAGTCAGGGTTTTGGAATAGATAACATGTGATTATTAAGATTTGCTTATTTCTGTCTGGACAGATCCTACCCCCCCCCCCCAAATTTATTGTGTGTAAATAAATTTCTAATATAATAGGAGCTTATACCGTATACCGTATTCAAACAAAATACGAAGTGGTAAATCTGAACAGATTGTGATCAGCTAAAACTTGAGATTTTCAGATACATGTGATATGTTTAGTGACAGAGAAAATAAGCCATAATTGCAGTAGATAAAGATACATCAATAGAATTAGATTTCATTCTAGATGGAAGATATAATATAAATAGATATCAATATGTATGTGGGGAATACTGAGGACATTTATTACAGGTTACTGTGCACTGTATATATCCCAGTGAATACATTATGACTGACATTTAAAATCACTGGCATGCAAATTAAGTACTGTCTAGACATTTCATTATCAGATAAAATATACAGGTTGCATATGTATTGAAGTATTTTATTTAACCTAGTTTTGCATTTTCATCTTGAACATTAGTCATTCCATGTTTACGACCGTAATTTTAATAGCTCAATTTACTAAGCAGTTGTGATTACTATTTCCCTTGGGGGAACTCGAGAGAAATCGGCCAGCTTTTATCAAGGAGAACAAAGTCAATTAAATACTCATTTGATGGATAGTATAACAATACTGAAGTTAAAATTACCCAGTTTATGGCTTTCCCACAGTGTAATATTCTGCCTTGACTTTTATTATAGAATCCCAGTTTATATGCGATCCTGGTAGTTGACTCGTACAACGGAAGCATATTCTCAGTTTATTGATATGAATTTTAATATTAATTACGTGTTTGTTTGAGTGCTGTAGTGGATGAAGGTGATAAGATAGACCAACTGAATTCAAAGTAATTATTAAAACAATTAACACAATACAAGTTTTTTACATTTAAAAAAACAGCTGCAATCTAACAAACAACAACAAAATGGACACTAGTCGGCCATCAATCAATCATATATTATTGAAACAAGTTGGCAGACATACATGTCATATCATCTTCTAGGTTTCAGCGCATTATACATGAATGGGAAACAGTACATAGTTTAACACTTTTAAATTATGCTGTCTTTGAATGAAATTGTCTATGAAAAATGTAATTTTATGCAAATCAGTCACCATTCTTACGTAATCAACGCTATACCTGGTTAAAAATGAGCTAAATAATAACAGAGGTGATTGATACACAACTGAGACAAGGGCTTACCTTGTCATAGGCATCCAGATCATGCAGTTGTTTCATTTCAAACAGATTTCCATCGACAGAAAGTAGAGATACTTGTGAGTCAGTCAATAGTTTGTGTGGAATTGAATCCAATTGAAGACAGTTTTCTTCCATTCTTAAAACTTTTAAGCGAGGACAACTGGCAATAGCTTCTGGTACTGTTGATATCTGGAGAAAAATATGAAAAATTGTTGTCACCAACTTTCAAGATTATATCTGCTTTATTTGTTATCCAATTATAATTCTTCCAGGAGAGATAAATTTTTGTGAATTATGAGTCAGTGAAATTTCGTAGTGGATTTATGACACGGATAGTTAATGACTTTCACAGAATTTTGTTTTCATTAAAGCCATAAAATCATCAATTAGCAAAAATTCCTAGTAGAAAAAAAAAAAAAGAATAAGAATTATGCAAATAATTCTGCATAATCTCCCTGTGTAACAGATCTCAATAAATTTTAATAATTTATAAAAATTACAAAATATTCAGTTGGAGCTTGAACAGCCATAATTATGTGGCCACATTGTATTTTTGAACATACAGATCTTAAAATAGTAGGTGACTGAACACTGATGTGTATATATTTTACAGAGGGGATATGCTTTGAATATCAAATTTCATTTTATTATAATTGACAGAATACAAAATTTGGAATCATTGGTAGTACCACAGTCCCTCTATCACCTGTCTAGAAATGGCTAGCGTTCTTTCAAAAATATCATACATTTTTGGATAAGTAGGCACATACATTTGTTGCATGTTTAAATTCAAGAAGCTATTTTAGAGCTATATATATAATCACCCAAATCCAGTGTTTCTGCTATTTTGGAACTGGAATGCAGTCTTGGATGGACAGATATCATTCAAATTTTGTACATGCATTGGAGATAATAGGACCTCAATGTACGTCATTTGGTTTTACAGACTTTGCTTAAACTTGGTGCCTACATAATGGTGGCCACTTTGTTTGAACTAATACTAATCTCTGACATGACGTACAGGTACCGTATGTACACATGCACTCTTGAGCTTATACTGAGAACAGGTGGAGACTGTGTCATGACTTGTTATTTGAGGGAAGCTTTCACTATGAAAAACGATATCAAGAATTTATGGTCAATATGAGCTTTGTGATGACAATATGAGCTTTGTGATGACAATATGAGCTTTGTGATGACAATATGAGCTTTGTGGTGGCAATATGAGCTTTGTGGTGGCAATATGAGCTTTGTGGTGGCAATATGAGCTTTGTGGTAGCAATATGAGCTTTGTGATAGCAATATGAGCTTTGTGATGACAATATGAGCTTTGTGATGACAATATGAGCTTTGTGATGACAATATGAGCTTTGTGATGACCAATATGAGCTTTGTGATGCAATATGAGCTTTGTGATGCCAATATGACCTTTGTGATGCCTGTATGGCCTTTGTGATGCCAATATGGCCTTAGAGCCAATGAAACTTTTGTGATGTCAACATGGCCTTGATGCCAATTAACTAGGCGATGCCAATATGGCATTGCTGGCAATGTGAACTTGATGCCTTGTGACCTTTGTGATGCCAATAGAACTTTTGTGATGCCAATATCGCCTTAGTGCCAATAGAACTTTTGTGATCCCAACATGGCCTTGATGGCAATAATATCTTGGTAATGCCACCAACATGAACTGTGTTATGTCAACATGGCCTCAATGTCAATATTAACTTGGTGGCGTCAATATGGCATTGTTGGCAATGTGACTTTGATGGCCTTGTGCTGATAAGATCATTGTGGTCTTGCGCCAATATGACATTGGTGTCAACATGACATTTTTTGTGCCAATATGAGCTTTATGATGCCATTATTACCTTGTGCCAATATGACCTTGATGACCTTGTGCCAATATGACCTTGGTGTCAATGTGGCCTGGTGCCAATACAACCTTTGTGGTGCCAATACAACCTTTGTGATGCCATTATGTTATTTGTGATGCCAATATATTTGTGATGCCAAATTAACATGGGATAAAATGCGAGAAAGTACATGCTACATGCATATAACATCACCTAGAAAACTGGAAAATTAAAGGTCAAGCAATAAATCACTTCTCTCTAACGTGCTATAGCACATAGCAACCTGTTTACTGCATGATTCGGTTAAAAAAATACAAATAAATGTCAAAGAATTGTAGCTCGTAATTTTCTTCATACTTGCAAGCAGAGCTAAAACCTGCAACTCGCAAATCTACCAAGCAAATTGTCGTGCCTAATTTATTGCAAGAAAGAATAATGAACACAGTTGACAAGTTTTCTAATCCGGTTGATCAACTAGGAATACATTTGAGTGAAATTGGATCTCTGGGAAAAAACTTGTGACAGTAGTCACACTGTTGGTAAAGTTATGGGAAGGTATGTATGGTGATTTTAACATACTGGCCTGTAGCCATAATAGAACACTGTATATAGCTCTTTCATGACAAAAACAACTCTGATAAGACATAAAAGCCAAGTTCATCAGAAAAACTGAGAAAATATAATTTCAATCATATTATACATATAATATATACTGTCTTAAACTATGCACTATGTCAAGCTAAGAACAAATCATTGAGCTGACATTGTGTAATGTTAGTATTACATGCCCCATCGGCTGATACACACAAAGTTTACTTCCCAAAACAATCACACACATTATGAGTTAACAAACCTGCATAGTAGCGGTCAGTACATGCTTCAGTAGACCGTAAAATACCCTGGATGTCTATTACTTTGAACCATGTATCAAACTTGCATAGAAAAGAAGTCATGTGATAAACCCTAGAAAACTATACTATACGCGCAATTAGACTTAAATAAACACACCAGTTATGACTTCTTACTAAATACCAAGATAATAAGCCATATCTCAATCATATTTTGGGGTTTATTTACTACATTGCAATACAAAAATATACTGATTGATACTAAAGTGAGTGTACAAATATGCCACAAAATCATTGTATGACAAAATGTAAGGCCACAAAATCCCAGCAAAGTGGAACATGTTATTAGAAGCATGCTGTTGTCTGTACCATTTCTTTGTAAACATACAGAATACAATGATGTAAGTGGATGTGTTTCTAATAGAGCAAATATGAATAAATATACATGTAGAGAGGTTTTCTCCTGACAAATTAAAAATCTCAAGGTTTATGCTACTTGTCCTTTTTTGTTCCGACACACGAGCAATGTATGAACAATGAGGACAGGAAGTAATCATAACTCCAGTTGGTACTGAGTCTCTGAAGAGACCAGTATAAGACACAACAGCTAGTTGTGCAAACGGAACTAGGTCTTTATAGCTAGCAGCTCGCTGTTACAAATAAAAAGAATATTAACTACTCTATCACTAAACTTGAGGCAATTAAAACACAATGAAATAAAGCCACATCCTGTCCTATATTATTGAATATATGTGCAGAAGCTCAATCTTCAATAACCACTCATTCATGTCTTGATGGAATTTTAAACTACCTTGTCAACTTTATTTCAATTCAGGCAGTACGGTGCAATCTTTCCCACAAGTTAACAGCGTGAATGGTACACATCTACATGTGCAATAATACATGACATGCCCACTGCAAACTGAAAACACACACTGTATTGTTTACACTCATACCTAGTATATTTATTTTCACCTCTGCCCTTCAGACGGTTGGTTCAGTGTTTAACACTTTGACATTATAACAAACACTAGCTTCATTCTGTTTCTTGTTAGCGAGTACTAATTCATCTTCATGGCACTTAAACAGGGACTCTAGCAATAAACATCCTAAACCGATTTAATTCATGAGCTACATTTAGAAACATTGTTACAAGACTGTTCACTTTACATGGGAAAATATGGAATGAAGCGTCGAAGAATATTTCAAGATATGGGATATAAAGCTGACAGGTGGGGGAAGCTTAGGAAATGAATTAATGGTCAACTATTAATTCACTAAAAGGAATTCAAGCAGAGAGCAAAATTCCTTGTTGACTAAATAACATGTGTGTGGTCCTACATGCATGGACTACAATTTAAAACAATACTATTATTATATTATGTGTACGTGGTATCACACAATGAGGGGTGGCGAAAGAAATGCTGACTGCATGGGTGGGCTGGTATAGAAAACGCCCTGACTGTATTGAATCTTTCAGAAGCCGGCATGACTGGAGCATGTTGCTTTTGTTCATCAATACACATGTATCGATGCTAAAGGTATGCAAAGTTTTTCAGAATTATGTTTCTTTAACCATGTGAATTGACTATGAAGAAAAACGTGACTGCATGCTGTGACATATTAATTATACAATTCATACAAACATACAATTATAAGCAGCCTCTCAACTGAGATAACTCCACTGTTAGCAATGCGCATTCCAATTAAAGGATTGAAGATATCATCATAAAATGAACAAATCTAAGAGAGTTACATTTGTAGTACCTACACATGTATATGTTTAATATCAAATCAATCAGTCTTTTCAACAGGAAGTCGAAAATATCAACTTCTTACCAAAAATGAAAAAAAAAATATCATCACAAAATTACCAAATCTGAGAGAGGTCCACCTGAGGTACCTGTATGTATAATATCAAAGCAATCGGACTTCAACAATAAGTTGAAAATATCACTTTTTATTAAATATTCATTAAAATTAGAAATGACGTGCATAAAGATCTTATAATATGTTATGTTTATATCAAGCTTGTACTAAATTCGTGCATACATGATCCGGAATGGCAGAAATGCTTGATTTCGATGAATTTTCAATATTAAAATGTCTATCATTCACACCCAAAATTAGAGCATTTGTGTCTCATGAATGCTTCAACCAATCAACTTGCTATTTTGCACGTATGACTAATAAAAACATAATAACATAATATATATCAGTGATTACATATTAAGGAAAATTCAGCTTTTGAATTTGGACCCGACAAAGCTGCTAAACTTAGTATTTGCTATATATTAAAAGTGCATACACTTATACGTGTTCTATATTTAGCATTTATAGATCAGTATAAATTTTGTATACTTAAAACTTGAACAGAATGTTTTTAACAATACTGTAATAATATGTCGAAACTTTATTAGCAAATTAAGAAAGAAATAATAAATGAGAATGTAGCACTAAAAATGTTGGTGAGAATAATGATGTTATTAAAAATCACAAATCCTCCTTATTAGAGATGTACTTTTGATAGACAAAATAGAGTATGTCATTCAGTAACCTTCTACCGGCGGAAACTACCTGTCAGCGCTCATTGACAGCGACCAACCTATGGATGAACCACATCCCATTGTTATAAACCCTACTTTATAAGCTCTTGAAGTATTTTGGCTTCCGGGAATATATGAAAAATGTAAACAGGAAGTCATTTTAAACACAGACAATTAACAATGACTTTCATGGTCTGCAAGTTATGAAGAATGTCAGGAAGTAAATTCATACTGATGTTTGTCTAAGTTTATTTAGTTTTCACACAAGCTTTTGCAGTGCCATGTTAAAGACACTGCAGTGAAACATTCACTCAAAATCAAATACTAAATTTTAATTAATGAAAAATATTGAAATAATAAAGATGAACTTATTTACTTAGGTAAGCACCCTTACAACCATGTAACATGTAACAAGTAACTGCATCACATAGTCACTGTGAGTTCTCAAGTTAATGTTTGAACATAAACAGCCAGAGCATGTCATAGACATAGCTCCACAACTGCATTCACTAAAACAAATTGGCCATCAGTCAGCCATTTGAAGTCCGATTTGAAAAAAGTGATGAGCATAAGGTCCCTCAAAGGTGAATGTACATACCAAGTTTGAACAAAATTTGTTCATACACAACCAAGATCCAGATCCCCAATTCTAAAAATGCTTGATTTTGATAAATTTTAAACATTAAAAATAACTGAAATTCGGCCATCTTGAATAGGATCACCAAAAGAAAACAAGACTAGCATTCAGTAAAACAAAACGAAATGGCCACCAGTCGGTCATTTTGAATCCAAACTGAAACGTGCATTGGGGTCTCATATTGTCCAATGTTTTTACCAAGTTTGAATAAAATCCATCCAAATGACTCTGGCATGATGACATCTGTACTGCAGATATCATGATGCCTGTTTAAACTACTTACAAGAATATATATAATATTGGGCATGACTGCATCTGTACTGAAAGTATTGTGGCAACTGATGACATTTATTCCTATGTACCTTAATTATTTCACAGCTTGGGAGGTACAAGCTACATTGTTTGCTTCAAGTTTAATGAGCACGCTTGTCGTCTTACAGTAAACATGTTGAGGTCGCTTGTGGAGCGTGATTCATGCCCAACATTGCAATGTTAGATGTCTACATTAAGCTCTTAGCCAGGGTCAAGAACTCTCATCTCATATCTGATTCTTAGAATATCATTTCTAGCTGTCAAAATGTGAAACATATTTGCATCCAGTAAAAACACCAAAAGGGTATTCAATGTGACTATTTTGACAGCTGGCACCTTAACCTAAACCTAAACTATTGATAGCAGTGATTTATAACAGTGTACGCAGTAACACATAGCAGTGGAGTGGGAGTTGTTTTATCATCTGTGATGGCTGGTTTTCTTCATGCTGTTATCATAGCTAACTTCAATAGTTTATACCGGTAATTACAAACCATTAAGGTAGCAAGAAACCCATAACATTTGCCAAGACGACATACGCAAGGTATAGTTTTGTTCTACCTTAATAGACACACTTTACTGAACTAATTGTTCATCTCAGTTTTATGTTTTTTTTGTATTCAATCTGCTTGTGTTTGCAAAATACAATATTATACTCAAAGATTCCACAATTGGAATATGAATTTTATAAAGATTATTATAATTCGGAAAAAAAGCAAATTTTGTCTGTTCATGTATACATGTAAGCCTCCCCATGTGCTTCTGGAGAAGGAAATTTATAATGACACTGTTAATGTCCATTTAGGCCATAGTGCATTGCGCCCTCTACAGTTAGGTTTAGTTTTACTGTTGTTTATTAGTACTTATTAATTTATTGTGATCATAACGATGATACCACACTGAGGTGCAGTTTCAATAAAAATTATTATTGCCAGCATTTTAGGTAAATTTTGTGTTATGTATTTGTGTATTAAATAGTCACTAGTGTGTTGATGGCAGGTACTTGCGCTACCACACACTGATCACATATACGTTTATCAAGCTCATTTTGTAAAACCATGTCTAGAGACACAAAAATTTGCAATTTCTTTTGACTCGCAAAATTCATGAAAATGTGTTTCTCATGAAGTAAAAGGGGTTTACAGAACTCATCTTCAACTTTGAACTATAATCAAGATAAATAGATCAAACATTTCTGAAAGATCAATTTTTTGAGAGATAAATTTAATCCTAGTCAAGATCATACTATGGGTAATTGGATGTACTCTTTATATCTGACTTAAAAAACTGGTTTTGGCTGAATAGAAATTCTTGTTATCTTGCATTCTGATATAAACTGATAGCAATATCAGTATTGGCTGAGTACAAACATAGATTGTAGATTCGAAGATGGGACTAGAATACTTTAAACATTAACACAACTACATTGTAGGAATCGCTAATAGGAAATAAACTATTTGACTCACCTGATTCTGATTAATATTCAGCTCTATAGCTTGCAATGCACTGATTTCCTGTGGTATACATGACAACTTATTTTGAGACAAGTCCACCACATCAATCTGTTTAAGGGAACACAGTTCTAGTGGGAATCTTTTAATACCATTGCAACACAATGAGATACTTCTTAGTGATCTCAACTTTCCAAACGATGAAGGCAAACTTGCAATTCTGTTGTTATTCAGGGAAACTGTCTCTAATTTTGACAAAGTTGCAAATTCATCAGGCAATGCAGCTTGAAACAAAAGAAATGATAGTAATTAAAATATGTATGTAAACAAAGTTTTTCCATGGATGATCTCTAAAGTTTTTATTGTCACAGTTATAAAGTGTTGACAAGGTGGGGGCACCTAGATATGTGACTTTATTGAATAAAGTATGAATCATTTTGTGAATCAATAGATCCCCCCCCTCTCCCCACATGCCATTAAAATCATTCTGACTGCCTTTGTGTTCTTGATTGTCCATTCATAGTTTTTGACACATAGTGAAACATTTCAATTTCATAGTGACACACAAATTCAGGATGGATTATTTAAATTAAGAGATGTGAAAACAATAGTTCAACCATAAGGGTATCATGACAAGATGGCCAGTGGAACACACACACACACACAGACAGACAGACAGACAGACAGACAGACAGACAGACACATCAACTGCAAAGACTCATTGTGTGCTTCACATGAGAGTCAAAAATGAAATAATATATGGCAATAAATCTATTAACAAGATTAATAGCCAAGTGAAGTAGATGAAAAGGTGGAAATTCACCCTGTGTTTATCGTGTATAGAGTTTGACATCATTCTTTATCTTGACATGCTTACATTACGATCACAAAGGTCTTTAATCATGGTTTTTTTCCCCATTAAAGGACAAATAATATTACTCATAAGCTCACCTAGCCTGTTGTTATTAATAAGAAGACTCCTTAGCATAGTGAATTGTCCAATACCCTTTGGCAGCATTGTCATGTTATTATCAGATAGGTCTAAGGTCCTCAGGTTTTTAGTTAATTTCATCAGGTCTGGTGGAAACTACCAAAAATATAATAGCATATTAAGAGAATAAGTCTTACATTTAATATATGAACATAACATACTGAGACATCTTTTAGTAGCGTATTCATTGTTCGAGTTACGAGAATCAAGTTACAAAAACACCATGTTACAAAAACGACCCTGCCTATATTTTAGAAACCACTTCGAAATTTTCTATTAACAGTTAACAGAACTTTGAGTTACGGGAAAATGGATATTTGTTTTCTTTAACATTTAGTAACTCGAATGTTAATTAACAGTTAACCGAATTTCAAACAAAACAAACAATTCCATTACTCGATGCTTGATGTCCGTAACTCAACCAACTGGATGTTTTAGACACTGATGTCGCAGTGACTTTCACTGGAATATTAGGTAATCACAGAGATATTGACTGGGATCCCAAAGATCAGAGTGACTTTTCTTGTATGGTTGTAAAAATCTAAATCATGCATAGCATTCAGCATTAGACAACTGAACACATACAGCATGATTTGTATTGTTTTTCATGAAGTTTATGAAAAACACAATAAGTTGAATACTTTCTGTGACCTGAATATAAATCAAAATCCAAATTTGAGCGTAAATTTGCTCTCATGACCATCTGAAGTTCAGCATTGAGTTATTGAGACCCCGTAGGGATGAATGCCAATTAAAATACAGGTGATGCATGGAAAAGAAATAGTGGAGAAGTTGGGAATATTTTCCTAATGGTCAATTAGCACAGTTCTTATGCAGGAAAATATTGTAGATCATACTGTTTTCTGGAGTCATCAAGTGTTATATGCTTATTATTGCCTTTGATTTATTTTTGCTCTCGATTTTGTGTAATTGTTGATTGTTTTTTAAAGCTGGTTTCACAACTTCTCCACTTTTTCTATGCATCACCGGCATGACAACATCAGTGGTGGCTGATTATATACAGTATATATAAAATATGTTTTTCAAATTCAGTCCCTCACCCCTTTGGCTATTATCGCTGATTTTTCGTCATCAGAGTATGTGATTTACATCGATTATCAATTTTAAATTTATTGAAAAAATATTCAAAATGCTGTGACACTGAATATTACTGACCACGGAAGACTTCCATCGCGAAGTGTCTTGTTTTACATAAAAATTATGTATATGTATAAATGAAAATAGACATTTCAATATGTTTAAGACTAATATATCGTTATTAATCTGAACCAATCTTTGAAGTAATAGACACCGCAAGTATTACACTAATGGGTGAATAGTCGTTATTTCTGACATTGATTTTTCGACTCAGAAAAAATATGGCTGTAGATTGCAATAGAGGGCGCCATGGCACTAACATAGTGCATTTTTTGAGTAAATATACACGATTCATGTTGTCACATAGCATGTTTTGAGTAATTATTCAAGTTCCAACATATAGAAAGCACGATACATTGATGATATTGATAACACGAATATTACGTTACAGTCCTACCTCTGAGAGACCCTTCCCACAGAGCTGACAGACACCACTCTTTTCCGCTCTGTCAATGTGCGGTTTTATGGAATTTCCCATATTTGGATTTCTTCGTGACCTCAGACTTCTCAAACTCTAAAAATATCTAGAACATCTAGTCAAAGGAGCAAGGAAGTCTTGTTTTAGAAAAGAAAATATTTGTTTACGCCATTCATGGATTGTAGCTATTTACTTCCGGATTCCGTCGACCTTTGATTAGCGCAGTCGCAGTAGAGTTTAACCACAATCCAGTTCGCCGGTAATTTCAGCAGAATTCTTAGCATTGAGCATGGAATCATAGAGTAAATGATGGAATCAAGTCCATGATTTCATGCAAACTTATCTGGATTATGGCAACTTCACTGAAATCCATTAAACACGTAATTCTTACAGGTCCACCAGGTAAAAATGATAAATTACATCTTGATAAAGAACTAGCACTATTTTCACTGTCAATATTGTTTTTAGGGATGGTCCATTATTTATGATGGGGTGACTGTGGTAGAATAAATAAAAATTAAAAAACAACACTCGGAATGATGTGATATATTAATATTACGAGCTGTAATCATGTCCCTTTGGTAGCACACTACCCACTACATGTATTTTGCTGTCATTAAGTATACTCAGAAATCCATAAAATACAGCAAAAGTGGTCATTTTTACGCAAAAACGTTAAAGATGAATGACGTGCATGAATGTGAATTATTCCACAAACATTTTTGAATGATTTTTTTTATGTTTAAATGGTAGTGAACTATCTTAAATACAAATAATTATTCTGCAAACAAGTGCGCAATAGACAGTGAACAATTTGTGCTTCTTGCGACCATGTTGCACACTATTAAACCAGTTTTTCTTGTCACCATGCTGTGCACATTTCTCTTTGAAATAACCAGTTCCCAGCAAGTACTATAGAATTTTCTCACACAAAATATGCTATTTTTACATGTGGTGCACATACCGGTACTGTGCATATATATGCCGTGCACAGTATTTTTCCATAAGGATCAAGATTCTGACCTCTCCAGAAAATATAATTGGATCAAAAAATGATGCATTTACAGTGAAAAATAACTAATACTCACCAAGCTATTTAGAAGGTTAATAATGTTGTCATTGCCTGCAGGGATCACTGATGATTCACCCAAAAAGAGTGTTCAATCCAGACGAGTTTGTTTTCCAAACTAAACTCACTGTTGTTAGATAGTATTTAATTCATGAGTGAACAATTCTGGTATTGTTTAAACCTGTATCTTGAAAAATTTGTTGTTTGTCTTGTGTGGGAATTTTTTCCCCAACGATTTATATTTAAGCATGTTCCTAGACAGTCGGCAGTCTTCTGACCTAATGTGATATTGATGGGAAATGTGAACGACCAACTGCCAATAGTCTAGAATTTTCGCTGCATGATTTAAAGTGGTCTTGCTGGAACTTTTATGGTATTTGAAATTTAGTTGTATTCAAAAGAATTTCGTGCAGATTAAAAATTTGTTTTTTGGAGACCATGCATTCACCCATTACACATTATAACACTTGATTTGTTTTTTTAAGGTGTTGGAAAAACTACGTTGATTCAGAGAGTCACTGAAAAGTTACAGTCTTATTCAGTTTCTGTGCAAGGGTTTTATACGGAAGAAGTACGAGGTGGTCATGGTAAAAGAGTGGGTTTTGATGTGGTCACTTTAGATGGTAAAAGAGGAACATTGGCTAGAGTCAGGCATGTAATTCTGTCATTCTATTTCTGATATTTTTCATGAGCAAGATATTTTCATCTTTTTCTTTAAAACCATAATTCCAGTTGCAGTTAAATTTGTCATTCTTGGCCTCAGGTGTTAGATTTGGACAAAAACGTATATTGTATGATAATCTTGATATGATATGTTGACGACTAAATTATATTAAATTTGTTGTAAATTAACAATTTAGCTTTCGTAGTATCTGTTATATGAAAAAAATGATGCGCATATACTAAAACAGTTTCAATAAATTCTGTCGTGCATTGCTGTTCGAATTCTGCTTTGAGTGCGAGCTAAATACAAATATAACTATGTATAAATTCAATGTTTGAAGACTGCTAGAATGATGTGTTAACATGAATAAAATTTGAATACAGGAGTCTGGTGTGCATCTCAGAATCATCTCAATGGAAACTGCTTTACATCAAATATTGATTTTCTTCACACTGTCTGAACACCATGTCTGTTGCTGCATATTCCACTGGTATCTTAAATCAGTATATTGTCATAGCATATCTTTCATATTTCAAATATGGAGAAAATTATACAGATATATTTTGTGTTAGATGACATGAGTGCGAGCTAAATACAAATATAACTATGTATAAATTCAATGTTTGAAGACTGCTAGAATGATGTGTTAACATGAATAAAATTTGAATACAGGAGTCTGGTGTGCATCTCAGAATCATCTCAATGGAAACTGCTTTACATCAAATATTGATTTTCTTCACACTGTCTGAACACCATGTCTGTTGCTGCATATTCCACTGGTATCTTAAATCAGTATATTGTCATAGCATATCTTTCATATTTCAAATATGGAGAAAATTATACAGATATATTTTGTGTTAGATGACATAAGTGCTCAAAAATGTTATCACTTAGATATCTTTTTTTGAAAATTAATCATTTAATCAAGATTACATCAGGTATTATTTACGTCAGTGATGTCATTTATAGTGTTCATTTCAAATGATGTCACTAAAAATGACATCATGTGATTAATTATTCATGAGGATGAGTCAATGACAAACGTATTTGTACCTTCACAACAAATCGCTGAAAATTACACATTTTTGCACATGTTGTCATTATTTGATTTTGATGACAAATACTTTTAGAAATATGAAAAAGTAAAACTATTCATCATTAATGTTATAGTCACAGTTTATCACATCCTCTGCCCACACACAGAAATGTACAGTATAAATCTTGTGTGAAAGTACTGCTATATTATTCTGCATACACTTTAAATAAAAAAAAATTCTTGACTAAAAATATATATTACCGGTATTCACTATTTTGGTCACAGTTGAAGGACTGTGTTCTGGTTAAATATTTTGGTGAATTGTGATAGTTTGGGGGATTCTTTCAATAAAATAGCATATACTATAGCTTCCTTTTTAGAAATGCATACATGCATCTCCAATAGCAGCATACAAAAACATACATTTATTTTATCATATGACCAAATACTCACCTCTGTCATACACAGAGTGAGAATGTTACAAATGAAGCGTTTCATATTGCTTCTAATTTATACATGAAATATACTGTGTTTGATGAAGGAGAGCCACAATTTGGTCCATTCCTGCTCTCCAAATTAACTAGATTTTTTTTATTCCAATATTATGTATTTAAACAAAATGACATACCATATCAAACATTGCAGGAAAACTGATGGTATTCAGTGTTAAAAATATTAAATACAAGCCAAATTTGGTTGTTGTATTGTGTGTTGGTTAGCATATTATTTGATTAGTTTTAAACTTACATTGTACAATATCAGCATATGAAATCTTGAAAATTATGGATAGTCCCTTATGATTTATGTTTTGGGTTCTGTTCGTCTGTTTATTGGACACCGTTTCCCTGACATATCTGGACCAATTTTGCTCAGTGTTGGTAGAAATATTAAGTCATATGCATGTTGATTTGTTTTTAACATTTTGACTGGTGACCATTTTTGTTCCAACATGTCATCAATAGTTTCTCTGGCGTGTCTCTCTGGCAGTTTCATAATCTATGTGGGTTTCTCCACTAATATATGAATGCACTCCATTTGTAACCAGTCTTATACATGTGGACTTGACAAATTCCATAGGAATGGAGCTTATTTTCCCAGTGATACAATACAATCAAACATATCCACTTTTGTTTACTTATTCATGGTACTAGTATCTATTATGATCTTGTAATTTGTTATCAAATGAATGTACCAGTTGGGTATGTAGAACAATAATAAAAGTGTATTACTAATATAGGTATAAAACTGAACACCAAAGTATCTAATATGTATTAGCCTGACATGATCCACTCAAGCTCTGCCAGCAACAGTCCAGTAACTCAAGTTAAAAACAATTTTGTTTATAATTGGAGATAATTTTTATTCTGTTAATTTGGTTTGCGTCAGTCTAAAGCCATTTCCTAGACATGCTTTGACCAATCACATTCAAACATTTATGATTACTTAAATATGCACTCCAATCAAGTATGCCAAAATTGCTAAATTCTGATACTGCAGAGATGAACAAAACAATTTCATTGATCATCTAATCATGCATATTGCATTACAGGTGCATGTCATATTTTTTTGAAATTCAAACAAAAATGGCTGACTGGCAGCCATTTTGTTTCTATGCAGATTCTTTGCAGTCTTATCAGGTAATACTGCTAGTTAATGAAATTTGGCAGGGACAGGGACTTAAAATTGTCAATGCTTGTTCTATATAGTGGTAATAAAGAATTATTAAATGAGAAATAGGTGAAAAAACATCGCCATAAATTGTATCTGTGACAGAAATTGATTTTATAATAATATTTGTTATGTTTGTATTTGTAGTCAAGGAGGTAGTGGTGGATACAGAGTTGGACAATACAAGGTGGATCTTAGTTCATTTGAACACACAGCTTTACCTGTATTAGCAACAAAGGTATACATGACTGCCAATCTGATTAATTAACATACTAGTTCAGGCTTTAATCTTTAAAAAAAATAAAATGTGGGTAAAAATTCAAAGTTGTGTTGTCAACAAAAAATAATCGAATTTCTTTGCAGAAAACAGAGGGCAAGTCACCAATATATGTCATAGATGAAATTGGTAAAATGGAAATGTTCAGTGATTCTTTCAAAGTGCAAGTGCAATCCATCTTGAATCAAGGCATTACAGTGTTGGCAACTATTCCAATACCAAAAGCAAGACCATTATTATTTGTTGAAGAAATACGTAGTAGACAAGATGTGAAAATATTCACAGTGAGTACTGGGCATTCAAAATATGAAGAGCGCCCTCAGTGACTACATCACTTTTGAACCTGACCCCTTTCACTGCCATTTTCCACAATACAGTCTGCATGCTGTTGAACAAAGTTTGTTATTTTTGAAATTATCAATGTCGTATTTCTGCTAAACTTAACTTTTCACAAATGATACATAATTATTTTTCAGGTTACAAAAGAAAACCGTGACAATCTTCTTACAAATATAGTGGATACTATAATGGAAATAAAGTGAAGATGGGTCACAGAGATTTTCAAATTACAAAATAGTCAACATTTCTTAGTTATGTATGGTTTATCGTCAGTAAAACCCAGCCACACATCATAAGATTATTAACAACCTGTAAGTTCACTCTCAATTTTATTTTGTTTTCTAAAAACAAAACTGCAAAAAGGAGACATTTCAAAAGACCTTTACAATAAGTTATCAAAAAATAAAGCAGTATTACCTGTATACAGTTGTTTTACAGCAAGTCTCAGAAGTATTGGGGCAGCCAATTTGCAAACTCGCTAGCGAATTGGCTAACTGCTTGGGTTTTGACTAAACAGTTGGCTTTCGAATCTCGCTGGGGCTGACAAGTGGTCGCGTCCACTCTGGGCGAGCCTATATTGCATTAGGGGACATGGACTGCTTTTACGTACGTAGCCAGGTACATGTTTGGATTCCCCTGAATGATTTTCTTTGCAAGGCGTAATAATGTATAAGTAGTTTTCCTGGTAAGTCTGAGAATAGCCACAGTCAGCTGACGTACAAGTAATAATATGATAAGCGATTAATCCGACATTTACTATATATATGGGGGTAGATATCTTGAACACTGATTGAAACTAAATAAAGAGACAAGTTGAGAAACAGATTCCTACAAAACGATTCGTTGGGGTAACAATAAGCCAATCGCTAATAAAATTCAACATCACTTCATTACACGAAGAACACTTTCCCTGGTATATTTGAAAGCGAAATCGCCATTCAACTGTAAGGCTAGCTTCTAAAGTATGACGACCGTCGCTACCAGGGATTCGAAAGTCAATCGTTTAGTCAAAACCAAAGCAGTTAGCCAATTTGCAAGTGAGTTTGCAAATTGGCTGCCCCAATATTTCTGAGACTTGCTGTAACACCCATCTAAATCCTCATTTCAAACAAACATTATCAACTCAAAGAACATCTATCAAAAACAATTTATAAATCCTTCTAAAAAATCTACCACAGTGCACATGTATGAACCCATTTGGTTGTGTTCATCCTAAGTATATACCTTTGTTAAAGAACCTTATCAAGCATATTGTGAGTATTTTCAGACATGTGGCCAAGAATACAACAGAAATTAGAAGTTATATTGGTAAAGGCTCATGTCTTGCACACACATAGGAAGACAGTCTGTATTTGTTTGATATTGAAATCTAATATCTATTTGCTTTATTACATTTAATCTTGAAAATTATGTTCGTCTAGGTAATTTTCTCACAGTGAATAGTCTTGAAATATAAACTACTACTGCAGTGGACAATGTGCCATATTAATGTGGGATGGGATGTAAGTGTATCAAATCAAAGATTGAGGCTAATGCACTTAATCAGTCTAAGCCTATTTATGATATTCTTGTGGTCTTTATACAATGTTTTCGAAAAGCACTGAAGAATGATTGAAAGCATCACTCATTTACTTTGCAATTTTTCACTAAAACTATACTTCTGAATTGGGAATAGTAAAACATCTGTGTCATAGATGGTTTTGACACACAATAATGACATGCATTGCAGAATTCAATATGGCCAACTGATAGGCATGTTTAAATATGAATGCTTCAGGTAGTGTTTTTTTAATACATCTATTTATCAACATGCACATGCAGTAATCAATCTTGTACCAACGAGGATGTGAATACCAACTGACTGATCATCCTATGGATTCACAGTAGTAACTTGTATGAACCTAGGGAATCATAGGCCAGTCTAGTCCTTGTTCAATAAGCTATTCAGTAGAGCACATACAATATACAGCAGAAGAATGATTGAATATCTTGGTGCTAAATTAAACTCAGAGATGGATTTAATTCAAAAATTATCTGGCTAGTTCTCAAGATGTTTTAAACAAGCAGACGGTCGGCTGAGATAGCTCCGCTGTTAGCAATGCACATTTCAATTAAAGAACAGAAGATATCATTAGAAAATGAACAATATGTATAGTATCAAAGCAATGGGACTTGCTGTTTTCAACAAGCAGTCAAAATATAATTTTTTACCAAAAATGAAAAAAAATATTCATAAAAATATATCATTACAAAATGAACAAATCTGAGAGAAGTCCACATGTAATATCGAAGCAATTGGACTTGCGGTTTTTAACAAGAAGTCGAAAATGACACTTTTTACCAAAAATGACAAAAATATTCACCAAAATTAGAGATTTGAAGATATCAACATGAAATGAACAAACCTAAGAGAGGTCTACCCAAGGTACATATACACCAAGTATCAAAGCATCCAGGCTAGTAGTTTTCAAGAAGAAGTCGAAAAAATAAAACACGGACAAAGTCGGCAGCAGAGCTAAAAAAAATGGTGAAATTTTTATTTTAGTAGAAACTTGAAATAAATGCATCAATATGTCCGAATTAAATCTGTTCCAGAATGGTGTTGATGTATGTGAAATTTGAATGTGATCAGTACAAGGCATGTCAGAGATACAGGTGGATGGACAGACACACATGTGAAACTACAAGTCCCTGTTTTTGAACAGGCATACTGAAACAATTATTTTGAAGAAGGGGACCAAATTACGTAGTTGTTGCAGCATTTTGAGTTTAAAAAAAATCGTACATCTCTTGAGCTAATGAAGTAGTATGTCTTCCAACCATGGAGAAGCTTGTTTCAGTCAAATCTACTGAAAGCTTACATAAAACCAAATAATGAGCTTGCATATGCCATTGGTCTAACATTTGGATGAGGCTGTGAATAAAAACAAAACAATATTATAGTTATTAAGCTTATCAGAGTCGGGTTACAGATAAAACTTGGTTTATTGAGGTGACTCAAATGTACTCAATAAGAAATGCTAGGATGCACTTGGTCTTGATGACCATTTAGTGCCTGGTCATATGAATAGAACAACCTGACAAGTGTAACCATGCTTGTTAAAAGATATGATCTGTGTCAAGCAAAATCATATTCTATTTCACACCATGGCTCAAATTGCTTTAAGATGCCTCAGAATACAGCAACACATCTGATCTGCATTCTATGGTACTCACCAACTCAAGACATTTTTATTGAAAGTAGTAGAGTGCAGTAAATGAGTAGCCTTGTGTTCATTATACAGTTATCAAAATGATGGTCAATGCTCCCAGGTGATAATGTGCTTTGATTCTGGCCTACACATTGTATTATTACGCAAATTACCATACATGACATGACTTATTATAACCATAACAATGCTTCAATCATTTTCATAATTTCATGCAGTAATAGAGCAATTAATTCCAATACATATAATTATTTTCCACTATATAGATACATTTTACGTTCATTCTGCCTGTAAAAAGATTTAAAATGAAATATACTCACCACAGCATCATATGTTGTAAATTTGGGTTTTAAATCTGATGTCATAGTGATAAACGCACCTTTGTTCCCCATCTGGTCACTATAAAAGTGTACAAAGTGTAAAGGTTTTTATTACAGTACATTTATCATGAGTAACAGTGACATAAAGCCATGTAATATTTTGTCATATTACACCCCTGTTGACCTCACTAGCCACCTCCTGAAATGCTGAAACAGCTAATATGATCAAACTGAATGTTCTCATGCATTCACCCTTCTCTAATTTTTCAACACATTGAATTTGTTTTCTTCACTTCGCAATCTGGGTTAGAAATTGTAAGCAAACGGCTGAACATTTAAGTAAAAAGTACTTCTGTTTTAACCTACTGAGATACAATGAGAAACTATTTTCACAGGGACCTTAAACAGTGGTCACAGGTGTCATGTACAGGTACTATGATTTAATTTGTTACTGTTCTGGCATGGAACAAAGCCTCCGAGATAGCAAGATACCTAATACATTGTGATTTTCATAATTGAGGCTTACCAGTAATTAGGTGCTGAAAAGACTGTTATACATTTGCCATCATGTGCCAGTTCATAGCCGTCTGATTTCACTTCATGGCTGCGAACTATGTAGTTTAAATTGTTAAGATCTAAAAATTTCTTTGTGACATCGGGACCAAACATGACACCCACACCTCTTTTACTTGGTGCTCTACCCCACTGAGGTTGTGGGTCTGACCACAGAAGCTCGCACATAATTCCTATAAGAATAAAATATAGGGAAATATACACAATGAGAAACACTTGTATGTGCGAGATTGTCCATTCTAAAAGTTTACAAACAATCATAAAAGTTAGAGACCTTGATAGTCCTTGTTAAAAATTTCAAACCTTAATGTTTGATATGTTGTTTCTATACAAATTTTGACAGCTGACCACTGGACTTGAAATGTTGGAAAGACGCACACTAACTTGGATATGTTAACAAAACATTAGTAGGCATAGAAGTAAAATGCAATGTACTACCTAAAACGACCATAGTGTCAAAATAGCTTTGCTGCCTTAGTAGATTGTATTCCTGTGGATATCCATGTATGTATGGGGGTCTAAAAACTAACTCTGCGACGCGATTGTGCGACTCGCTGAAAGTCGATTATTGCACTCTGCGACAGGATCGCAGTGTCACTCTGCGAAGAGCACGATTCCTATTGGTTGGTGGGTCGAACAGCGCGAATCCCAATGGTTGATGTTCACCGCATGCCATGGTAAAAATGGTACGCTAAAAAAAAGTGTGTAAACACTATGTACCGCCGACATGCCGCACTGGTGATCGGCAAGCACATGGAAGACAAATTGTGGGACCAAACAAACGACACATGGTTTACGGTGATTAAACACATCACACTGCTGGCTAGAAAAGTTAAATAGTGTAACATGCACGTTGGTGTTGACTGCCTATTTACGGTGTAACGTTATTGCCATCTTGGAGTTGTAAGGTTTCGTCCCGACGACTATGCTCATTAGCACAGGCGGCAGCTTCAAAGCGAGTAGAACGCGAAGTACTTTTCACGCGTTCTGCAACGAATGTTGTACGTCTGCATCAAGGAAAATAATTTGCATGCAGTGAAAAAAAATCATTCACAATGTGCAACGTTTTGCCATGACAGCAGTTGTTTGCAATCGTCTGCTTTCGTTTAGATCATAACTGGACTCCAAACTTGTGGCTTACGGTCGATTAGCTGGTATTTTAACCATCAGAAATGAAATACTTTGTAACAGTTGTGAAAAGTAAACAAAAACGACGTTGCTTTGTGGTATGAATGTAATTATTTTTGTATCATAATTTTCGAAGTCAGTATTACTGAAAATTATGGTTTATTTTTTTAAATGAACGCCAAATTTTGGTGGTCCATATTGATCTTAATGTAGCGGGAAGGGAAATTTTCTTTTTTTTCTTGATTTTTAAATAATTGATAAAACGGTTACTTTGTACCTTGATTCATCATCCCAGCTTTTCAAAATTTCGGAAAGATCAGTGCTCAAACGCTAACACTACTACCGTTTCGTTAATATTTGCATAATGTTTATAACATGTATTGTATACTACCGGTAATACTCTGTTGTTGACGATTCTGATAGAACGGGTGACAAGCTTCCTGTCGCAAACAAGGCATATTAATCTAACGTCCATTGTCAGCATTATTATCAGTCAAGACTTCGTCTGAGAAATTGTTTTATTTTCTAAGTCTATATTCTATTTTAATAACACCATCTTACTAACGCAATGACGATAAAAAGCAAGAACGGACAGACGAGGCAAAGAAAAATCTGCAACTCAGGGTCATATTTACTAATTTAGACTTGCCTGCAGCCTGTTGTGATTCCGATGAAAAATTACAGGACTTTCGCGTTCACCCCTCGTTTACGCAATTTATATTTATTTCTCAATTTTTCATTGGAATCGCAACAGATTGCAAGCACGTATAGGTCATATTATGACCAACCTCGCGAGTGGTTCGAAGGGAACGATTAGGCTGAAATATTTGCATCAACTACTTAACCGATGACGACACCGATACGTGAGACCGTTGAGGGCCGGTGATCAGACGAGGAAGTGAGTACAGGAAATCTGTTGCTGGTCGACATCGGCCAAATAAACAAAGCCATCGTTTCCGTTTATGCACCCATCTAATTTTCCGTTGACACTGCCATTTTAGTTTTCTATCTTCAGCAGTTGTTTCAATCCATTCACACAGCTTTACGTTACGTTTTTTCTCTCTTAATATTCTTAATAAAATGATATTGATTGCCTAGAAACAGTTTGATCCGCTATACGCTTTATTTAAGAATTCAAAGTGATGAATATAGTCATAATAAATTATACTTGCTAATGACAAAAAAAGGTGAAAACTGGTGAACCTGATGAAACGTACTTCGCGCTCTACTCGCTTTAAAGCTGCCGCCTATGCTAATGAGCATAGTTGCGAACGAAGCCTTACAACTTCAAGATGGCGTTAATGTTACCAGCTCCCTGATGTTACACTGTAATAAGGCAGCCAACACCAACGTGCATGTGTTTTGTAACCCCTCTCATCCCCTCCGGGGGATGTTATATATGTTAATAAATCAATGTTAAATACTTGCTGATTACTGAACCGTGCGGCATGTCGTCGGTAAATACTAGTTTACCATAGTTCGCGAGCAGTCGGCGAAATAACCATTTAAAACTGAACATTTCTATAAGACATGCTGTGTACCCTTACATCGACCGACCATTGGGATTCACGCTGTTCGACTCACCAACCAATAGGAATCGTGATCTTCGCAGAGTGACACTGTGATCCTTTCGCAGAGTGCAATAATCGACATTCGGCGAGTCGCACAATCGCGCCGCAGAGTTAGTTTTTAGACCCCCATACATACCTCGGATATCTAAAAGTTAGTATATGCCATATCACAACCATAGCCATATTTATGGTTGTTGCAATCATTATATATTTCTAGGTTTACAGAAATGTAGGTACCTACATATCAAGTATCAGAGCAATTGGGCTGGTATTTTTCAAAAAGAAGTCGAAACTACATTATTTTACCAAAAATTGCATTTACTGTAACCAGTAAATTAAAACATGATTTATTTTGACTTCAGACATACCTTTATCATTTATGCAAGTGAATGTGCTACTAATACAGAAAATTATGATAATTGCAATTCATAATAATACAATTAAAAGTGTTGACCTAAATCATGGAATTCAGGACATTAAATTGGCAAAACTGACTACTAGTGTTATCCAAACTTAGTTGTCCATATCCTGTACACAGTGCATCATTTAGTAAGAATAAATTGTCATAATCACCTGATTCTGGTGGTTGTCTATTCCTTTCTATTTTTCTTATATCATCCAATGTGACATCATCGCGGCTAAACAGACCACCATGCATTATCTGAAATATCAGACAATGTTTATACAACTATGTGCCTCAATCTTTGCCAGAACCAAAGTACCAATCTCATTGAAGAGATACAGTAGTAGAAAATATTTTGAGATAGTGTGAAGTGATTTTTCATTTATTTAGGAAGTACTTGGCACTATACCTGGAGGTGTTAACAGAATAAACATAACAATACTTTTGAATTAACAGTACATGTAATTACCAGTAGTCAAAATCTACTGATGTTAATGTTAAAAATGGAAGCAAAAATGTAATTGTATCTCCTATACTAGTGCAAAACAAATCCTGGCTGACATAATTACATGTAAGAGATGACAGTGAAACTTCACTAAGGCAGTACAACACAAACACAGTTGGTGTTACTCAAAATTGCACATTACAATTCAAAGCCTTGTTCTGGTCACAAACTACCACACTGTTTGAGAGTGCATAAATTTGCCTACACACATTTGTATTTTGTAAACAATGAAAAATAGTTTTTGGTTTGGCTTTATTCATGCATGTGGAAAGATTATAAATGTCAAATTACAGTTATGGGCATGATACAGCTCCCTCTAGTGGCAGCTGGTAGAAACATGGCCTTTGACAGTCAGTAACCAAGCACACGATAACTTGGTAGACTACATAATATTTTGTTGGTAGAAACACTGCCTTTGACAGTCAGTAACCAAGCACACGATAACTTGGTAGACTACATAATATTTTGTTGGTAGAAACACTGCGTTTGACAGTTAGTAACCAAGCACACGATTACTTGGTAGACTACATAATATTTTGTTGGTAGAAACACTGCCTATGACAGTCAATAACCAAGCACACGATAACTTGGTAGACTACATAATATTTTGTTGGTAGAAACACTGCCTATGACAGTCAGTAACCAAGCACACGATTACTTGGTAGACTACATAATATTTTGTTGGTAGAAACACTGCTTATGACAGTCAATAACCAAGCACACGATAACTTGGTAGACTACATAATATTTTGTTGGTAGAAACACTGCCTATGACAGTCAATAACCAAGCACACGATTACTTGGTAGAAACACTGCCTATGACAGTCAGTAACCAAGCACACAATTACTTGGTAGACTACATAATATTTTGTTGGTAGAAACACTGCCTATGACAGTCAGTAACCAAGCACACAATTACTTGGTAGACTACATAATATTTTGTTGGTAGAAACACTGCCTATGACAGTCAGTAACCAAGCACACAATTACTTGGTAGACTACATAATATTTTGTTGGTAGAAACACTGCCTATGACAGTCAGTAACCAAGCACACGATAACTTGGTAGACTACGTAATATTTTGTTGGTAGAAACACTGCCTATGACAGTTAATAACCAAGCACACAATAACTTGGTAGACTACATAATATTTTGTTGGTAGAAACACTGCCTATGACAGTCAGTAACCAAGCACACGATAACTTGGTAGACTACATAATATTTTGTTGGTAGAAACACTGCCTATGACAGTCAGTAACCAAGCACACAATAACTTGGTAGACTACATAATATTTTGTTGGTAGAAACACTGCCTATGACAGTCAGTAACCAAGCACACGATAACTTGGTAGACTACGTAATATTTTGTTGGTAGAAACACTGCCTATGACAGTTAATAACCAAGCACACAATAACTTGGTAGACTACATAATATTTTGTTGGTAGAAACACTGCCTATGACAGTCAGTAACCAAGCACACAATAACTTGGTAGACTACATAATATTTTGTAACTTACAAGACCTTAACGCATCACAGGCAGACATTATTGATAATCACAACCAATTTAACATATGTGTGAGAATGATTTGGTGGCAATACTCACCAGTATCCTATTATTGATACAGTGTGCTAAAGGTAACCAGTTATAAACTTCTGTAAAAAGATCTGCCATCTGGGATGTATATTTTGCTTTAACTTCACCAAAGAAACCGTACATTTGATTCATTGTCTCACTCTCATGATTTCCTGATAAAAACAGCGAAAATTAACTTTATAAACCTGTACTGTATACTCTATAATTGCTATGGAAACCTATTTGATATTAAACATTATTATACATCTGTCACCATAAGTTACAGCATGCCGTAAATTTGTAGTATTTTACAGGGTATTTTCATCCTACCGAATATGGAATGATTACACGCATAAGCGTCCTCTAATAATAAAAACAAACATGGCTGCCAACGGGGTTTGACCAGACTCCACACAAAGATTCTGTTCTAAACTTTTTGTATTTCGGCATTCCCATGGTGTATCAAAGATACACGTATAAGGAAAAACGTATAATAATATGCGTGTTGGTGGATACTTCAGCTGTACTGTGTTCGTGCATACTTTGAGGTAATAACCTTATATTGATTACAATGTAATGCATATATTTACAGAAACACCTCACCGCCATGGCTACTTTGTGCATCCAATTTCATCCATTGTAAAAAATCAATGAGTTTATCAACACAAATCAGGCGCATGCATGTGTGACAGCAACTGTACTTTAAATAGTTTACAAGTTACTATCTACTACTTTTTTTAAAGAACACAGAGTTAATTAAAAGTGGTTAATTTAGATGTCTAAGCTCTGGCTACTGTTATCGATGATACATGTTTGTACTTACCTCTGGACATGTGAAAGTGCTCTGGATATAGAAGTTTAAATCCAAACAATGTAAGTATACATTCTACTGAAAAAGAGCCCCTGTCCACAAAGTCACCGTTGAATAACTAAAGTACAGTGCTGTTAAGAACAATGAATATGGATAAACACACCAGTAGTTGACTGCAGTGGCATTTCAGAACATACATGCATTACACAACCATCAGAGCACAAACCTAAACACTAGTACTACTGGTTAAATTTCAGAACACAAATCTAAACACTAGTACTACTGGTTAAATTTCAGAACACAAACCTAAACACTAGTACGACTGGTTAAGTTTCAGAATACAAACCTAAACACTAGTACTACTGGTTAAATTTCAGAACACAAACCTAAACACAAGTACTACTGGTTAAATTTCAGAACACAAACCTAAACACTAGTACTACTGGTTAAATTTCAGAACACAAACCTAAACACTAGTACTACTGGTTACATTTCAGAACACAAACCTAAACACTAGTACTACTGGTTACATTTCAGAACACAAACCTAAACACTAGTACTACTGGTTAAATTTTAGAACAAAAACCTAAACACAAGTACTACTGATTACATTTCAGAACACAAACCTAAACACTAGTACTATTGGTTAAGTTTCAGAACACAAACCTAACCACTAGTACTACTGGTGGTTAAGATTCAGAACACAAACCTAACCAC